GGGCCGTTCCTATGAGGACTTCCCAGTGTGGGCCGTTCCTATGAGGACTGCCAGCACTGAGGGCCCTAGCACAGGAAGGCACAGCAAAGTCGAACCCTACATCAGGGCTTCTCATCTTAGCCCTATGGATGCCTAGAGCAGCATAATTCCTCGTGGTGGGAGCAGTGCAGTGTGTGGTAGGACATTCAGTCTCTGTCCCCTGTCCCTCCCCATTGTGACAAGAGCCTCTCCAGACACCAGGAGGCCCCTGGAAGGGCAAGACCTCTCCTGTTGAGAAGCACCGCTCTGGATTATGCAAGGGCCCTTGGTACTCAGCACTGGATAAGCAACATGTGATATCAAGTGTCACTGGCCAACTGGCCCACTCAGGATGTGGGACAGCCATCTGTGACCCTGACAAGGGCACTGTGCTCCAAGGCATTCTGCAAGGAGCAGAGGTCGGGACAGGTAAGCCTTTGCAATAGGCATTTGCTCAGCCTGGCTTTGCACAAACTGATCGGGTGTTTATACTTAGCTCATCCCAAGAAGGAGCAGACCCTTGTGTGTCCCAGAGATCCTGTCTGTGCCCACACTGGACATCTGGAAAAGCAACAGTAAAGCCCCTTTCAAGTGGAAGTGTATTTGAGTATAAACTGTGGCAAAGCAAGCTGTGGTTCGTGCAGAATTCAGTTTCCTGTGTTTCATGTCAAAGACTTCAGGCTCACCAGCTGTGAGAGGGTCTCTCAAAGCTCTCAATGACCACAGGCTTCTCAAAGGGAAGTCCCACTTCACGCCCTTCTGCTTGGCCCAGTGGTTTCCCAGTTCGCTGGGGTCCGCGAGAATACAGGGGACTCAGTGGACGCAAGCCACCGCTTCATGTTCTCAGTGGGCACAGAGCAGGAAGGGAGTCTCGCTCCATGTGCAGGACAGGACCCCTGGGAGGAGGGCCCTGCGACTGCAGCTCCCCAGCACCTCGCGAGTCATGTAAACCTTCAGCTGAATCAGGTTCTCTCTGAAGGCACGCATGTTCGCGGTGATGATTAATCCTCAGTAATCGTGCTATTTTCTCTTATTATAGGTAATGTATGAAATTACTGGAGCAATTGAAAAAAATAAAGACTCTCTTTCACAGAATCTTCTATTTGTAATGAAAAGTAAGTTGATTTTTCCCCCTATGCTGGTTTAAATGCCATCTATTCTTTATTTCTCTACCTCTGACTATTTTTCTATAAAATATGCTTCTAGCTAAAGGATAATTGAAGTCTCTCTTACATTCTGATGCCCAGAATAATAAGGAATGGCTCTTGCCACACTATACATTCATTACTATTTAATTTGGAGCCCAGAAGAAAGCATAATTTAACTAAGCTTTTAGCAGAATGTAAAACACCTTTACTACCTTAATGGTATGAATATAAAAAAGCTTTTCCATGAAGACTAATGAAGATGAATATGGCTTCCAAAGTTATTTGGGCCACAGAAGGCTGAATTTCATTACTTACGATGACTGCGGAGCACAGCTTGGGGCAGTATTTTATTCTTATGCACTTTCATTATGAAGTATTAATGCCCACTAAGTCAAAGGAGCCAAGGAATTAACGTGTGCGTGTATGTACATGTATGTATTTATATAGATATGTATAGCTGTGTGTAGGTTTATCAGCCACTACGTAGTGGGGATTAACTTTATATATATTGACTATAATTTTATACTTTATGTGAAACCATAGGCTAAATATCACACACACACACGCCTGTCGTGCAGTAACTACTTTTATCCTAGCAGCTCCGCAGAGGCTGAGGCCTTCCCAAGAAGCTCTGTGATGCATTAGAGAGTGCAGTGTTTGTGGCCCCACATGCTCCAAGCCAGCCAGGGCTGTCTTCCTTGCTGGAAGCGGAAGCATCACTGGCTCTAACCAGGCAGCGCGGAGCCCAGCCGAGCCCAGCCGAGTGGGCTGCTCGTCCCAGCTGGAGACAATGAGCCCGCCCTGACTGGGGCAGCTAGGCTGGACTGCATTGTTTCTCAAGGCTGTACCCCATGCTGCTCAGGACTTATGGTTACTGTGCCTCTGCGGAGTTGAGGCTGATCCTAAAAGTGTGGAGTGGGCAAGTAGTGAAGAAATAAAGAGGTGAAATACCTAAATGAAGAGCTCCTGTTTGTCAGCATCGGACAGAAGATCTCCCTTCCAATTTTTGGGTTTTTAAACTTCATTTTCATGCACTTGTTATCTGTTATCTTTTCTGGAGATCAAGTATGGGGCTTGTTTTAGAGTGGGCGTGTCCTTAGGCTCAGGTTTCCTGGCAGGGCAGTGTGCGCATTTGCAGATGTGTGCAGAGGGGGTGTGATGACCAGGGTGTTGCAGTTTTGCTTAAGAGAGTGCTGAAATTTTAAAGCCAATGTTTATGTTCACTTACCAACTGGTTCCAAGAAACCTAAGTAATTACTGTACTCATAACACAGCAGCAGAATTTACAATGTGCTTTGGCATGTATTTAATTTTCTGTTTAACTGTTTGCTTCATAGTACTGAAGCCTGAACCCAGGGCTCTCATGCCCTTGTGTTGGTACAGGAGTGCAAGAATGTTTGCGTATGGGGCAGAGAGCAAATGCCTTGGCCTTATCCTAGCTAGCAGGAACCATTCTGCTGCTGTAAAGTGCAGACAGCACTGCACACTCCAAGTGGACACAGCTGAGGTCCACCCTGCTCCCAGCCACACAGCGCAGGCCACTCTCGGCCCACAGCAGGAGCTGCTCACTCACCTGTTGTGCAAGCAGAACTGTCAGGTCATGACAGTACTTGAGGAATATGTGGAGTACTTGGATGCCACAGAAAGTTATCCCCGGCAGTAGAATTGATAGACAACACGAACCTCTGTCCCTAAGCACAATGCTGTTGCTATATAGGGCAGTCCTCATCGTCCCAGAGCCTGCTGAGAAGGACGGGTTGTGGTGGGGTCCCTGCAGGGAGGACTCTGCCTGGCAGACACAGCACCAAGGGACATCAGGTGTCTGGGACACAGACCTCGGGGGCTGAAGCTGGTGCACCCATTTGTGCCTGAGAGTAAAGACTACTTGACCTGGAAGGAAGGAAAAGCCCACACTCAGGCTTTATATCTTCTCGCGAGAATAGGAGAATGTGGGCCTGCTGCCAACAATGGGAGCCATTTCCGAGTCCTTTTGCTGAGTCTCTGCCTGATTGCAATGTGGCCACCAGAGGTAACTTATCTGTGTGGTGACCACAGGTGAAGCAGCGACGGCTCCCACGGCAGGCTGTGCACAGCAGGAAGAGTGAAGAGTGTCTCCGGGTCCCCTCACAGAGGGAAGGGAGGCTCATTCCTCCTCTCAGCAGTGCCCCCTCCCAGGGGCAGAGACATGACAGCGGGATTCCCCTTTCCACGCGCCAGGGAGCCTGCTCTCCCTGACTGCCCCTCCAGCTGTGGCGGCTCTGTGGCTGTGGGCTGACTGGGTGTAGCCACCTCTCGGTGCAGCTAGACTTGTGATACAGAGCCGGCACAGAAGAGGGCCAGCTCTCCATTTTGGCCCACACACTATGTCTAGAGCTTTTCATTGCACTGAAGGACATTTTTCCTCAGAAGAATCATATGGTGCATAATGTATCTGTGGGCCTATTTTCTATACCAACTTGTTAGATGTAAATAATGAGTATTTAATTATTCTTATTTAAATGGGCTGTGGGATATGTTTATTGGTTAAAATTTGTTTTGAAGTGGTTTCAAACTCACAAAACAGTTACAAAGTCGTGTAGAGAGCTCCCACGTGCACTTTTTTCCCCAGGTTTATTTTTCATCGCCATTCTTTTCTCTCTCTCTCCCTCTGTCTCTCCTCTTCCTGCCCTCCCCTCTATATGTGGACATTTCCTGCCATTTGAGATAAGTCACCTGCCTCTTAACGTTTAGGCACTGTGACACACATAGTGTGGTAGCGGATACGTGCCCCCGCCCCAGCTGCTGCTGTTTCTGAGCTGTCCGGGTGACGGTCCCTGGTGCACTTCTGGTTGCTCCTGGTCTCCTAGGAATGGCCCAGCACCATGCCACACAGCTAGTCACTGTGGTGCTGTGCATCGTGTAAACCAGTCCCCAGGGGATGAGCCAGCTGCCTCTGCACTTCCTGCTTGCTTATGCAACGTAAGCCTTAGGCCACCAGAGACCAGGGCCTGCTACTCTGGGAATGATCCTGGTCAGTGCCTATCAGTGTAAATAAATCTGCCTCCGAGTCCTGGGCGTCACTTTGCTGTTTCTGCTTGCTGCGACAGTGTGAGTGAGGACTTTATCTTACATGAACTCAGGAAATTATCCAAAGGGTGATTTTTTAAATAAAGTTAATACCACATACAGTACAAAATACAGTTAATATTTAAAAACACTTTACAGTGAAAGCCACATTGACATTATTCTCCATCAGAATCCTCTCCCTGGCAGGGCGTGGTGGTGCACACTTGTAACCCCAGCACCCAGGAGGCCAGGGCAGGAGGATCATTGCAAGTCTGAGACCTACCTGGGCTACAAAGTGGGCTCAAGACCAGCCTGAGCTGCATAGGGAGCCCCTCTTTCAAAAAGACAAAAACGGGTATGGGGTTCAGAGATGGCTCAGTGGAATAAGTCCTTCCCCGGCAAGCGCAAGGGCCTGAGTTCAATCCCCAGTTCCAAAAAGACAAAAACAAATGAAAATCCTCCACTCAGTCCAAACACACCCATCCCATCATTCATGCCACTCCCGCAGCAGCTCTGACATTCTCTTTCAAGAGTGTCTTCAGTTGTGGCTCCAGAGCTGACTCGATGACCTGAATGAGTTTAAAACATTTCCCTTTCATGGTCATTTTGACCCTGGGGGGATCCAGGGTTGTAAGGTGTCGATCTGGTGAAGAAGGCAGGTGAGGACATAGCTTTGCATTTTTACAAGCTGCCTTTCTGCTGGAGGGCCCTTGGCAGTGTTCTCCAAATTTTTGGTCCTACCTTGTAGACAGTCAGAAAGACAGCCTCTAGGTTTGCTTCATGAAGTGCCAAGAACAATGGGACACCTGTGTTTGAAGCAAGAGGGATTGTCCTGAAGGGCGCTTAATGCTATGTGCTTTACTGGAATAAAGTTTTAAATTTAATCATGCAGGATGTGCTTTGACCACACCTCCTGTCTAACCTAGAGTTCATGTAAAAGTTTAGCAGATGTCCCACTAATATTCTCCATATTCATTTCCAGCTATTTGAATCATTTCTTTCTGTTACCATTTCTTTATGAGTTTCCTTCATTTGGAGCAGTTTCTGAGCTTTCCTTTGGTTTTCACCACACTCATAGTTTTTATTTACAGTTAGGGGCATTTGCTTTGTGTACTGTTTTGTACAATTTGCTCTTACTGTGCTACTCAAATTTGTAATCCAGAATCCATTCATCCAAGCCCTGGTTTCCCCCAGAAAGGTCCAGGAAGGAATCCAGTCCCAGAGCAGTACATTTACATAACCTAATGTCTGAAATGTACCAGCTTGCCTTACCTTTGTGGCCTACCTGGGTCATGAAAGGAATGGCTTCTCCTGTTTTATCCAAACACCTGGAGTGGCAGAGGCCGGGCCTCCTACAGGTGTTCTCCGTTCTGAGGAAGCCTGGATGCAGGACTCGGAGTGGCTTTCCTGGCAGGAGCTTCTGGAGTGAGTGGCTGCTGACAGAGACACTAAGAGACTCTGCGAGAGTCAGCCGTGCACACTCGCCTGTTGTGTCTGGGCAGCAAGGGTCAGCGCCTGCTGCCCGGAGACCGAAGGCTGAGAGCTGGGGGCGGCAGTTGGCTGAGGGCAAATGAAGGTCAGACTCTGTCAAGCTGTGTGAAGAGTGGAGGAAATAAATAGGGCCGCTGGGGAGGACCGGGCCCTGACTGCTGCACCGATGACAGCTTTACCAGGGGCTGTTTAGGGGCTCCTCAGAGGAATGCCATTAACACTCATGTTCCCACCGTTCACAAGCTCATTTCTTCTTTCCTAGCCAGTGACAATGTCATGATCAGCCATTTTTTCCAGTCAAAGCTGTCGCAGACAGGATCCCTGATATCATCCTACCCTCCTTACAAATTCCGAGGACACAAGGTGGCCTTGCTGAACAAGAAAGTGGTGGCTTCGCCAGTGACCTGGGAGAACAGGAGCTATCCCGAGCTCAGCAAGGTGGGCACTTTGGTGATGCTTCCTTTGCTCTATCTTTAAGTTTGCTTGTATGCTGTTCTTTAGAAAAAGAACAAAAACACCGCACAGCTTTGACTACTAAGTGCAGTAATATCCTAAAAGAATTAAAGAAAAAAATGTTGCCCATTCTTCATGGCTCAAGAGGGGGTGGCTCGCAGGGGGCCACTGTGCATGGATTCCGGGGCTGGTGCCTTTGTGCAGACTCTGCCCAGCATCTGTGTGACGTCCTACTTTGTCTCATCTTAGTGGCTGTCTTTTCGATGGATGGAGAGAAACTTTGGGGCCAGAGGCTGAGAGGAAATAAACTGAGCTGCCTTATCCTGCTGATATTAATCATTTCTAGGGTTTGGGTCTCTGCACAATAAGTGGTGTTTTGATAGACAGCCTATTTTTTTTAGATGCCTCGGTGTTTTTAATGTGTATTTGTAGATCTCCTTATTTTCATTTTCTAATGTTGAAATATATTTATCCCACCTGAATTTGAGCACACACATGACCTAACAATTCTACTTCTAGAGGAGAGCTGAAAGGAGTTATTTGAAAGCAATGGGGTAGTAAACATGAAATCTTTTTCGATTTCTTAAGACTGTAGTGCCAGATTGCAGATTACATCCAGTGGGGTTGTTTTGTTTTGCTTATGTCAACCAAAACTATAGAAATAGGACTGGTAAGGTTCTCAGGCCATTCAATTTTAGAAATGCAATCACTGCAGCAGCTTGCTGGAGTATATCTTAGCTTTTCAATTAAAATAAAAGCACAATGAAAATTAACTTTTGGAATAGTGGCAGGTGTGTGTGTGTGTGTGTGTGTGTGTGTGTGTGTGTTCAGCAGCAGGCCTGGACCTGGGGATGTACTTGCTGCAACAGTGGCTGAGCACAGGCAGTAGGTCTCGCTGCGCAGGAAGTGGTCTACTTTACACAGGAAGGCCTAGGGTCACGGTTAGAAGGGTGAGCTCCAGCCAGGGTCTCACGCACCTCCTGGCCCTTTCTCCATCGTCCTGCAGTTCAGGAGCAAGAAATCTTAGCACACCTCTAAACTGAAGCGTTTTAGCTCATTTATTAAACACTGGGAGGCGTGGGTGCCATTAGTCTTTTCCCTAAAGGACTGCAAAGGGAGATGATTCACAGCACTTCCTCTGCTCGGAGCGGGAAACTGAGTGCTCAGTTTCAAGGGTGGAGATTTATTTATTACAACTCTTCCGTAGTGTTCCATTCCTCATTCCCTTGTTTCTCCCCTTCAAACAGCCCTGATCCGGGCCCCGACACACACACACACACACACACACTCAGGTTTGACCCATTGTTTAGCTGAGTGCCATGCTCCGTGCAGCATTGGCAGAACATGGGCTGAAGGGCTGGCATCACCCGCCACCCCTCGACCCTGGCACAGAATGGCCGAAGCCGTAGTTCCTCTTGGCAGAAGGAAAACCGTGACTCTCATACAAGAGCACTGCACTGATGAGACTGCTCAGCCGGATTTGTTTCTCACATCTTGCTATTTTAAAAGAAATGATTTTAGGTCAGTAGCCTGCATGGCCCAGTCCTGCGTGACTCCATGAACGGGACGCACGTTCTGGCTGAGGCTGCTCGGTGGCCCTGCGGGACTTCATTAATTGCTTCTGGCCTTTTCTTCTTCACCCACTCACCTCGTTGCCACTAATTTCTAAGATCTCCATTATCATTTAATCTTCTCTACATATAACTGGTTTTTTCTTTCCTTTTAAAAGCTATATATAATTACTCATTGAGGAAAACAGTCAATTGTCGTTTTTCAGACAAGTTACTTACTAAACTATTTTAGTGTTAAAAAGAAGAAAAAATAAGGAGAAAAAAGGGTAAGATGGCATCAGACCCATACAACTGCACAGCCCTTCCTGTAGTTGCATTTAAGGGAACAAACTGTCAATTGTTAAAATACTGACTCTTAGTGATATAAAACAGTATACTGTTGTCTGCAGTAGAGGACGCTGCATGGTAGCTATGAGCAGCGCGTGCTGCACCACAAACCCAGACAACAGCCCTGCACCGTGGGTCGGGACCCACAGTTATTCCCGAGTTCAAAAGGATGCCAGTAGTGACATCCATACGCCCGTCCTCCAGAGCCTCACGGCAACTGCGGTCTCTTCAGGGGAGAGTGTGGCTTCCTCTGCTTCCAGCGGCCTGGCAGAAGGTCTTTGCTCCCAACTGGCCCTCCCCTCATGAGTTTGCCTGCAAGCTGCAGCTCTGCCTCTGCTCGGGAACTCGGTTCTCTCCACAACTGTGGTTGCAAACTGAACTGGACCACAACCGACTCCCAGGTCCCTGGATGGCCCAGGTTGAACCTGGCCACTACATTTGACTTGTTCTCCAAGTCAGTTCACAAGGAGAACTGTGGAAAGAATCAAGTTCATGAACTGGGGCACTGCTGGAACTTACACGGATTGAGGCTTAAATTGCTATTTTTTCCTCCTTGGGCTGGGGAGATGGCTCAGTGGAATAAGCGCTTCCTTGGCAAGCGCAAGGGCCTGAGTTCAATCCCCGGTTCTGCAAAAAAAAAAAAAAAAAAAAAGCAAATCCTTGAAGAAGAAGTAAAATAGATACTTTTTTTCTCTCTCTCCTTTTTGTTACAGTTATTAAAAAAGAAAGGAACTTCCAGCCTTCTACAAAGACTGGAACGAGGAGATCCAGGGACCATGGCATCTCAACTCAGGGTGGGTAACACGTGCAGATTCACAGCCTGAGCGCATTTCCGAGCACATCCAGGGGTTACACAGAGCCCTGCCCAATCTCCGACAAATAAGGCAAGCAAGTCCACACCTACCCAGTGCACCAGCACTGCTCACGTGGAGCTGAGGCCTGCAGCTTCTGCCTGTCTGCAGAGCTCCCATCAGCCCACTCCCTGGCACCAGGTACTGCAGTCAGTGGCTTCTCTCTCTGCAGAAGTCCCTGGCCGACCTCATGGGGAGGCTGCAGCGCTGCTCGCCGCACTTCGTGCACTGCATCAAGCCCAACACTGCACAGCTGCCAGATGCCTTCGACCACTTCTATGTGTCTGCGCAGCTGCAATACCTCGGGGTGCTGGGGCTGGTGAAGGCCTTCCGCCATGGGTTCCCGGTCCGCCTGTCCTTCTCCGACTTCCTGTCCAGGTACTGCCCTGTCCTGCCTTGCTCTGCCCACCCTGGGCTGCTGCTTCCCTTCAGTGTTACTGCCTCGTCATCCGTTGGCTTCTGAGGCCCTGGAGCACAATGAAAAGCACCAGCAGAGCTTCTGTGCCAGATTTTATGGACAGAGAGTGTTGGAGGGTGTTCTCATAGTCCATTCAGTGTGTGAGGTTTTCAAATTTATAGGTGATTGGGAGGGGGAGGCAGAATCAGAAGTGAAAGGACCAAGGTGCGATGCTTCAGGAAAAGAAAAGCATGCATAAGCATCTTAATACTGAATGTGTTGAGATTAATATACATGACCTTTGGCCTCCATGCTGCACGGGGAGCTCACACAGGTGGCCAAGAGTTTCCAGATGATTATTAGCACTCAGGAGCACTGCCCCAGTGACCTTGGTCATTGAGATTGCTGCGCATGCACTTTCAGTTTCTTCTCTAAGGGCTGGCAGTGTAGTGGGTTTCCTGTGATACACAAAGCCTATAGGAAACCCCATGTCAGGGTAACACCATTGGTTGCAAAACATCATGCTAGTTTTCTTTTCTTGAATCATGAACCAGACAAATTTATACATTTTTAGCAGGCAGGCACCTGCCTGCCTGCCTGCCTGCCTGCCTGCCTGCCTGTCTGTCTGCCTGTCTGTCTGTCTGTCTGTCAATACCCCAAAGTGAATATATTGATTATACATCACAAACATATATTAATAAAATAGTAAAGAAAACAAAAGGAAGGAAAGGAGGGATGGGATGGGAGGAAGGAGACAAAACGAAAGGAAAACAAAAAGAAAAGAAAAAAAGGCAGGAAGGGAGGGCTGGGCAAGGTGGAACATGCTTGTAATCCTGGGACTCAGGGAGGCCAAGGAAGATGGAAGGCCAGTCTGAGAAAATTAGCATCTTAGCAAGACCCTGTGTCAAAAGAAAAAAAAAAGATTAAAAGAGCTGGGATGGAATTACAAGGGTTCAGTGGAAAGGCCCTACGTTCTATCCCTGGGGCAGAACAAAGAGGAAGGAGGAGGAGGAGGAGGAGGAGGAGGAAGAGGAGGAGGAGGAGGAGGAGGGTGACAGGAAGAATTCTCCTCCTGCCCTCTGCAATAAACCATTCCCACCCATTCCAGCCCTCGCCCTCCCTAGTCTGCACACTGTCACTATGTGTGTATGGTTTCCAGAACTTCTAAATATAGAATCAAATAAAAATAACCAGCAAAAAGGTTAATGACATCATGGCATGCAAGGTGCACATAATATCTGAGGCTGCTTCCTCTTCCACATCTCTGACCCCTGGGCATGCCCAGCACCCCTGGTTTCTCTGAAGTCTTGGGAGCAGAGCCACAGCAGCTTCTCTTTACCCTTCACAGTGGCCATTTGCCCACAGCAATAACATATCCAGTGACCACTGTGCAAAATATAGTAACATGTCCATCACTTGGCCCTTTGGAGACATCTGTTGGCCTTTAGATGAATTCATCTCAAAAACGTGTAGTGCACCATGAGCTGTGACCAAGGACACTCAGGAAGATCTCATTCCCAGGCCTCAGAGGGCCCTTCGTGATGGTCACAGGGAGCACCCTGCAGCCCCCAAAGGCCCTTCCAGGCTGTGCATCTGTTCACATGTACCTCTGTTTAACCAGCACCCTCGGCTTGATTTTAACAAGTGATCAGGCACAGTAAGGACTGGGTGTAAAGCACTGAGATAATGAATGTGAACTTGGCTTTCAGACGCGTACCCGTGGGCACTGCTCTAGTCCAGGCCCTTGGCACCCTGGGGGTGGACACCCAGCTGAGGAAGTCCCCGCCTGCAGGCAGAGGGACAGGAGCATTAACAGCAATGGCCACTTGAGCTGTTACCGGCAACATGTCCCAGAAGCCCAGGAAGGGAGCTACTTGGAATTAGAGATAATTTTCAAGTGAAACTAATGTTAATCTCAGTGAAAATGATAATAATGATGTTTGTAGGCATTTGAAAAATAAAAAGGGGGTGAGCAAAAGGAAAACTAGAAAGTACTTTTTATTCCTAACTAAACTAAGACAAAATTTTAAAATAACACTTAAAATCAGTACTAAAAGTTTAAACTTTTACACTTATCCTATAAATGTACTGTACCTCTGAGTGTGATAACCATTGATCTAAAGAAGTTTAACTGTTGTTGAAGAATTCACTGTGAGCCACTAGTTTGAAGAAGCTACTAAACAAAAGACCACCACCGCCACCAAAATACTGGAATTGCTGAGTTGAAACCTGTGGTTCAGGACGGTGGAGATGACAGGTGAGCCATGACTAAAGCTCTGTGCTCAACATTCGTCTTTTCAGAAGGACAAAGTTGCATTTGCACAGCGTACATGTCCATAACTTTCCCAAGGCTAGACAAAAGAAAACAGGCATCATGTGAGCTTCGCTGCAGCAGTGCATCGGGTGGGGCTGAGAGGGTAGCTTGGGAGAACGGAAGACGCCGCCTGGCCAGGGAGCCGGCCAGAGTTATCCTCCAGAGCGCACGTCTCAGAGAGACAGGATGTTTGTGCTTAAAAACTAAAAAGACACTCATAGATGAGGTAGTAGATGCAGTATCTCTTAATCTGCAGGGAGTTACTGTGAAGTCTGGTGTTGCACTGAGCCAGGGCCGGGCTCTGAACTCACTGGGCAGCCCACACTGGCCTCTCATGTGTAATCCTCCTGCCAGTGGCTTCCTAGATGGCTGGGATTACAGGCACGCGCCGCCATAGGGTATGGCGAGGTGGTTTTGGATGGGGTAGGAGTCAGACGACGCTGCTTATCGTACACTAAGGGGTCTTCCTCTGCTTTCTCTTCTCTGGGCGGCATCGTTCCTTGTCCTAACGAGTGGCCACTTGCTAATGAGTATGTGCTTCTCACGCATCAGAGTTTGCTTATTAAAGTCAGCCCTCCCGCTGCATTAAATACAAGTGGTTTGGGGGTTAATGGGCTTTAAACCTGCCCCTATGCAAGGGTGAAAAATAGGAATGCTCCAGGCTCAGTGCAGGCTTTCTGAATGAGCAGCTGAAAGTGTGACTCAGGCCGTCACACAGTTCCTAGGAGCCGAGCTTAGCAGGCAGCGGTGAGGGTCCCAGCTGATTTGGTCAGCGGAACCAATTGCCTGGATTGACAGCCCCCGGCGCTGTGCATCAGGACCCCCTGAGCATCGTTAAGACCAGGTTTACAGGGTGTGCGGCCTTGCACAGACAGGCGTGGGCGGAGCCCACAATCCTCAGCGTTTCTAACAGACTTCCGGAAATGCTGGAACTTCCGCTGGCCGCCCGTGGACCTCACACTGGGAATCTTGGCAGGGTCGTTGGGAACCTGGTTTTTGCTCTGTTTCGTTTGTCCCAGGTCAAGTGCTAAAAGTACGTCAGAGCCTCAATAGCAGAGGCAAATGCATGGAGGAAGTGAGATCCTAGGCCGCCGCATGGCTGAATCCAAGTATGCGAATTTACCTCGATGCCTGAGTGATTTACTTGCAGTGTCGGAAGCACAACTGAAGAATTCCTGTACAGGGCATGAAGTCGGACCCGGCTGTCTTTAGGAGGAATGAAAGGTGCATTTTCTTCTGGGTAGTTTATGAGAGTGTCTCCTGGATCATGGAGTCAAGCTGTACATTAACGGGTCCTGCGGGTGGACTCCTTAGTGCAGCCTTTGGGCCACGTGGGTCATCCTAGCTACCTTTCCAGCAGTGAGCAGCAGAGGTACTCCACCTCAGGGTGGGATCAAGGCCGTGTGTGTGTGTGTGTGTGTGTGTGTGTGTGTGTGTAACAGCATTTACCACAATAATAGAAGTTGTTTATCATTGCCTTTTGCATTGGTATATCTACTCCATTAGGACTAATCTGAATTAAATCCTATGAACAATTACTATCTTTTGAGGTTAGGTACAATTTTCTTGCATGTGACTCTCTTAATATCCTGGATTCACCTAGGCAGGGCAGACCTTGCTTCTTCCTGAGGCCTGTGCATTACTGGCATTCAGGAAACATCTTCAGAAAGAGCCAGGCATTGGAGGGCCACTGCTGCTCAACTTTAAGTTCTATTTCTGCAGAGTCGACTTTTTCAAAGAATATTGGCTTTCAAAAATCAGTAGTGGGCACAGGAACAGCTACTTTTGAATAGTTTCTGTCAGCAGCCTGTTAGTCACAGGGGAGGTGATTCCTTGTGTCTTGATTTCAATGGCAGATCTGCAGTGACAGGATTTGTGGCTTGCTGCAGTGTGGTGGCTGTCAGGAGAGATCCATCTCTGTAGCTTCCCAATAAATGCATTCAGCACCTTGCTCGGTGAAGTGGCAACACGATTCAGTATCTCTGCAGCACGTTGCAGGGTCCCAGGCAGAGAGCATTGTTACGAGGCTAAAGCCTAGCGGGGAAGGAATGGGAATCATGGTAACAGAACCTAGCATCCTTGCACACAGTGCAGTCCCTCATATTGCTCTGCTGGAAACTCTGCCACCTTGTCTTAACTGTGGAGAATAAAACCCTGTCAAGACAAATGACTCCAGGTCTGCAAAAGAGGAGTGTGGTTGCTGCAAAAATCGTGGATGAAAGAAAGGGAGAGCCTGGCTTTGTGGCTTGGAAGTACACAGCTACTTATTTGAACAGTGCTTGCTCTTTCTGGAGTCCAACTTGACTACAGAGTGACTGACGCACCTAGTCTTGCTTTTCTGTTCTGATGCTTTGGGCAGGGAGCTGGCTGCTGTGTTTGGGGTGGGCAGGACAGACAAGCAGACCTCACAACAAGAGAAGAGGTGGCCCGGGAGCAAGCGAGGGGCACGCAGTCACGTCTCCCCGGATTCCCACACTGGAGCCTCGCCTCTCCGTGTGGGCACTGGAAATGTGGCCAGTGTGGTGGATCAGCTTAGATGAGGCCCTGCGCAAGAGCCCTGCCCTGGCCGACGCTGGTCTTCATGACAAAGAGCCGGGGAGTCGATGTCCTCCCCCTCTCTCCTTCCTCTCTCTGTCTCCTCCTATGGAAGGAAGACATGACAATAAT